TTTTTGTAAAAGCCCACCATTGGTCCGAATAGACAGGAAAGAACAAAGAAGCGTTCAAAGCGACCCCGCATTGTGGTAGGATTGACCTGGTTTGACCCTGTAGTATGGACGAGGGAGCTGGCAGTGGAAGGCAGCCCTCCACCTGACCAGTCCATGTTCTCCTGCCAGGAGGCAAGCCAAGAAGAGCCACCCCAAGAGGCGGCCATGCTCCATCAAAGGCTGAAGTGAAGCGCACAAATACCTTTTCATCTGATGGTGTCAACAGTGATCTCACAGTCTGGAAAGCTGAATCTTCAAGGTCCTTTTAGATCTATGGTTTTAGAGACTGTTCCATGTTTGCTTATAATAGAATTAGATTCCAGGTGGTCTTCCAGGTTTTTAAATCCTTTGTGGAAACAGAAATTGGGAAGAAAAATAAAAAACAAACAAACAAACAAACAAAAAAAACCCCACCATCCTCTCAATAAAAGAAAAAATCATTTTAACAAAAGCTGCATCTACTGTGAACAAAGCCAACTAAATCTGGCAGGTTGGTCCTTTGTTTCCAAAATGGTGTTGGCCAGTTGGTGGGGAGCTTGCGTTCATTCTCAGCAATGGGCCTCGTAGTCAAATGTCACCCATATGTGCTTCCGTGGGCTTTGTGAGTTTTCTCTGCACAGGAGAGAGCTCATCCCGCACAGCTACAAGCCTTTTTGATCCTAAGAGAATATGAGGGCTTCCTATGCTGTAAACAAGCAAAAAGAAGGACCTGATGAAGATAAAATGCTATCTGCCATAGCTCGTTATTCTGAGCAGCGCTGAGGCTGCCTGCCCATTAGACTTGTTTCTGTTTTTGCCATCAATACTGCCCTGGAGATGGCTTATTTGTAAAAGGAGCAGGGTGTAGGATATGCATTCATTTGTAAAAGATGCCTCCACACACATTCTGGAGCTAAAACTGTGCTCCTGAACTTTACCTGTGACTAAATACGTTTTATTTCTTACAGCTGAGCCTCGTAATTGGTTTCTGCAGCCTCAGACACATCCAGAAAGGAAAATATGAGAAGCCTAGCTTTCCGAAATGGCTTTTACTGCAAATGGGAAAAGCCATCTCAGCTCCGAGCTGGCAGTTCCCAAGGTCAAATCTCAGAGAGCTGGCACCTGGGAACTCAAGTGAGGAGCAGGTGGCTTTGGAAAAACAAATGACCCTAAGGATGGGCAGAAAAGGAGGGCATCAACAAAGATGAGTAGTGAGTGGCTGTGGTCAGAAAAGAGGGATGACCAGAGCCTCCACAGACATTAGCCTCCCATCATAGTTCATGGCAGCACAGCGTGGTTTGTTTTCCTGGTTCTAATGCAATCAACGACGTCTGGAACTGCTTAGTAAACCATCAAATCATACAGCCCAGTCAATTCCAGACCCAGCCACCAGCGGAGGCTGGGGAAATCATTCTATTTCGTGAGATTCAGCTGTGAAAAGAGAATGTGGGCTCATCCAATGGATTGAATTGTTAAATTCATTCAGAAAAACAAAAAAAAGCTAAATATGCAGCAATTGATTTGGCCTTGAAAACACTGGTCCAGAGGTCTGACATCACCAGGAGATTTTGACTGGTTGCTGTGCCTCTGCTATGTTTGTAAACTTGACACTCAAACAAGCACTAGGACCCTAGACATGCGTCAGTGGATTTACAGGATCTGCAGGCTTCCCCTCTGGGCTAGATCCATAGTGCAATGTATGGACTTCTGTAGTTCTCAGTGCCCCCTCCTAAATGCTCATCTTTGCCTTTCTAAATGCTCAACATTTTTGGCTTTTCCCCTTCTAAAAAGGACTCCTTGTCGTGGACACCTATAAGACCCAATCCTTTGCAAGCTCTTTCTTAAATGAAGCTCACTTTATAAATCAATCCACACTATTTCAAGAGAGAAGGGCCAATGAAGGACTGCTTTCTTGCTGGTTGTTTTTTTTTTTTTTTTTTTGTATTTTTTGCATTTTTTTTTTTACAGCCTTCTAGTCATATACAGAAACAGGACTGGGGAGGAGGTGTTGGGAACGGTGGAGTTATTTGCAGGGCACCTTATAAAAGCATCGTAAAGACCATTAATCACTATTTATCTCTGAATTTCTCCATTTGTTTATTTGCCCTTCACAAACCATAGACTTACTGTGCTGTAAGCTGTTATAAATGATATCAGAGGGAAATTTTGTTTTTCTCATAGGCTCCTGGTCTTGAGGAAGAGCAAGTACATCTTTTCATGGTGTTTTTTGTTTGTTTGTTTTGTTTTGTTTTGTTTTTTAGATGTTGAAACTGTAGCTGAAATCAAGTCCAAAGAAGGAGATTCTTCAGGGAAGAGAATGGGAAGAGAAAGGGTTTCAGTGAGTTGATGAGGTTTAAATAGTTATTTTTTAAATGTCCTGGTAGCAAAAGCATGAATATAAGTTCAGTGAATGAAACTTGCAATCAGTCTGGAAGAAAAACATCACAATGGCCTTTGACCAACTGTGCTGAGGTCTCCCTCACTTTTCAAGAGAACCTTCAGACTAGAAGGCTCAGACTACCTAGAAACTTAGCTCCTGGGTAGCTCCCTGATGGGAAGAGCAAGGCTTTGCTGGCTTCTGGGAAGCAATGAGTAAGATTGTGAGGGTAGCCATGATGGGACTTGTGAGAGAGTCTTTTTTTTTTTTTTCTGAATAATGTGTACTCAGAAGCCCAGTACCAACCTAGACCCAAGCACGTCCCTCCTTCTTGCTCAGAAGGTTACAAATGAAAACTGATGATTAGACTCCACAGCAATAGTGAAGGGCACCCAGCACATGTGACTCAGGACTGTTCTGACAGTCAGAGAGGAGAGCTTCACGAATCAGAAGACCCTTTAAAGGGCCAGAAGAACTGAACTGATTTCTATCACCTTTCTATTTGCTTGGGCAGCAGCACTGGGAAGAGATTTACAAAATCAGCTCCCCCTGGCTTATCCTTTACTTACATTATTGGAAACAATACGCTTTTATCCACCTAAGCTTGATTTCTACAAATTATACTTGAGATTGTAAGGTGCTCAGTTAAGACTTTCAGAGACAGATTGACCTGATTCAAATCCCAACTCTATTGGTTACTGGTACATAGGATGTCAGCAAGTAATTACCACTTCTTGTATAATTTCCTTCACCAATAACATGGGGATTGTATCAGTGCCTTTCTCAGATGGATGTTATGCATTACATGGCTTAATGTGTGGAAGAGCACTCAAAGACATGTCTGGCACATTGCAAGCTATGTATTTATATTAGCTAATGTCATCTGTAAATGAAACTTCTATTCTACTTTGTAACTGTCATCTCACAGGCTTTCTACCTCTGTTTGCTAACCTAGCCCTAGTCCTGGAAGCTTCTAGCCTCCAAACAATCTTATCTAGGCTTAGAATGTTTCCAGCCTCTGAGACTTAAGGCTAAATAAGCTAACCCTTTCTAGTTCTTTCTGAACTCTGGCTGGCTCCTTCTCATTCTCTGGCTCATCTGTCTTCATCTGTGTTGAGCGTGTTCCCTCTACAACCTGTCTCTGTAAAACTGTCCTGGTAAAACTGCCTCTGAATTCCATGAACTGAACTGCCAAGAACTCAACTCCACAGTGCTGCCTCTCACCTCACTCTCGACCAAACTGCCCGACAAAACTGACTAGAACCATAACTGACTAGAACTCAAAGATCTGCTTACCTCTGTCTCCTGGGATTAAAGACGTGTCTGTATTCCAGCTGGATGGACCTAGAAGGTCTTTGGATGTGATCTCTCCGAGCAGCCATGTTCTCAATTAAAATTCCTCTACAGCCATCCTTCCCATTCTTTGCTAGGCACATTTTTCTCTAATTCTTCACTCCAATATTCAGGAGGAAATAACAATAGTATGTTTCTAGAACTAGCAAGGATATCCTAGATACACACAGAGACCACTGGAGTAACGAAACTATTTCCTTCCTAAGACTGGGAGGCAGTCTCACTGCAGGGGACAGTTTTCTTTCTTCGCTGCTGAGGGCCAAGACATATGGGACACATCCTCTGTCCAGCACACCCTTCACTGTTGTGGGGGAAACTTTCCCTGGGGGGAAAGGAATATAGGTCAGCAACGCTTTTTAGGAAAGTCTTAAAAAGGATCCTTTTCTCAGCGGGTCAGGTCAACAGGTAGGATTCTGAAAACAAATCACGACAAGTCAGCACACATACAGAGCTGAGGTCATGACACTTGGTAGCTATTACCATGGAGGTAGCCGAAAATGACACATAACCATCATCATATTTACTATCGTTATGATGGTGGTGGTGGTGATGGTGGTAGTAATGCTGTTGCTGTTGATGATGACGATGATGGTGTATGTGTTGACATGTGCGTTATCATATATTTTGGAAGTTAGAGGGCAACTTAGTGGAGTCATTTCTTCCACATTTAATTGTGTTCGAGATCAAATTCAAGTTGCCAAGCTTGCATGACAAATGCCTTTACCACTGAGTCTTCTCACAGACCCAGAAACACTAGCATTTTAAACTCACTACACATCTCCCAGCCAATACCAACTTAGATCTGAACTAATTCTCTTGAAATCTAATCCATGCAGCTTTTGGCTCTCCAGAGGATGCTCTCCCTTCTCTTTAGCTCACATCCCCAGTGACTGTCAGGCTGATTTTCCTGGGCATTGTTTTGGTCCCTTCACTTTCCTGACAGAAGACTTGCACTAGCTCCCTAGTGGCCCATCTGCTGATAGAAATGAATGAAGTTATCGGACTGAGATAAAGGTGCACCTTGGATCTGAAAGCCAGAGCTTTCTGCAGGAGCACATGCCACTTCCATTTATCTGGCAAGTGAATACCTTCTGGCTCTACAATTGTGTCCCCATCTTTTTTCAACACCACACACAGATACAAGAGATAGCTCACTTTCTCCTTTACCATATGAAAAAACCAGGCCACCCAGCCACTGTATTAGTTAGCATCTCAGCTTGGTTTAAACAGAGATCAAATTATCACAATTCTTGTGAGATAATATTATTTATCGTCTACATGAAGGTCAATGCTGGTAGGTCAAGGTGTGGGGGTTCTACTTCACTGGATCAAATGGAATCTCTAAGTCTTCATTAGATCAAGAGTCCTTAGCATCTTCTTTATTGTCCTCAGTTGTGGCTGTCAGATCATGGTCCAGGGATTCGAAGAGGTTATCTGAGACTCAGCATCTGCAAAATCAAATACTTTTTATTAAAAGTACTGAGCTATTTTGTGTCCATTCTCAGTCTACTTTACTAATAAGTATGCAGTGGTTTATCCTGCATTCCTACGATTATTAAAAACAGTAACGAATGAGTTTGAACTAAGAAAGTTTATTCTAATGTATTTAGTAGTCTTGTATTTATTTGCTTTACAGTTATCTATTAAGCACTTGTACAAGTATAGTTTACAATCATTTGGCATTTATTATGGGCCAGTTCTGGTAGGATAGCTTGGGGCACAGTGAAGTGCCTTCAAGGTGGCTAATGATCCTCTGCTTAAGGTAAACCGTTCATGATTAGGAGAGTGTGTCCCACTTTCACAGCTATAAATATAATTCTTTGGGTAGTCCAAACTCTGTATCATTCTCTTCCCCTTTTTAAATGTTGATAATGGGGTAAAAAAAAAAAAATAATACAGGCTATTGCCACCATTGATTTTGGTTGCCTCTCAGAAACTAAAGGTATTCTGAAGACACTATACAATTCTGGCAGGAAAATTGGAGGAATGCAGCTAGAAATGACCTTAAAGTCTCCTCCCTGAGGAATAGCTCTGATAATACAGGCAAGAGCTATACACGCTATTAAGGGAGAAAAGCTATCCATAGTTCTATCCAGGTGTAATGCCTACAGACAACAATTATAACTGTAATCCCAAAAGGTGCAATAATGGCACTTATATACTGGGTGTAACCCACAGGCATCTAATTGGATTAAAGTCCGCTCGACAGGAAGGACTTTATGTCTGGCACTATTAGCCTATCCCACAACTCATGGCTGGTGAAGCTTTGGACCCTGGTAGAGAACCTTCTGCTACCACTACATGAAACCTAATTCTGAACTGAATTCTAGATACTTTTCCTGTGCACAGCCATACCCTGAAACATGCCCAATCTCTAAATACTTATCCATATTCACACAGATAGCTGTAACTGTCACTCCTCATCAAAGAAGCTTCTTTTGTAGTAGGCAGATACGATTACAGAAAACCAAAATTGGGCAAAATTCAGAAAACTGACTGGGGGTGCCCAGCCCCAAGTGAAATATCCCTACACCTAATTCTCAGGGAACATCACAAAGGAGAGTCTGGAAAGATCTTAAGGGAAATAAGACCAGGATGAGAAGTCCGTGTGTGACAGGGAAGCCTTACCCAGGAAATCTCAACATTATGATTGCTTAAGCAAGATAGAAAGAATTTTTATAATTAACATGTCAGTTTGTATGGTGGAAATCTCACAAAGATTCACCCTAGAGGAGCTATAGGTGACTATTGTCCACTGGTGGTGGACAATCTGTCTTCCCCAGAGGCAAGCCTGCTGGTAGGCCAGCCAATCCCAAGACATCAAGTAAATACATATGAGAAACATTAAGTTATCTCAGCCAGTGCACATATAAACTTATGTAAATATATGTGCAATTTTAATTAATGCAACCATAATTATAAAAAAGTGTCCATGAATTTGAAGAGTAAGAGAAGCCCAAGAGGGATTGGAGGGAGGAAATGAAGTGAGAAAATTATGTAAATACAGTACTTATGTATAAAATTCTCAAAAACTGAAAACAAGGAAGCATCTACTATGTTTGAGAAGGTATTTGTGGATCACTTATGTCTTCCTTCCAACTAGTAAAAGATCCTCTGGGGCTGTAAGTTTTTAGTACGGTCAGATTATGAACTAATTAGATATGATTTTTGTAGATGCAAAATTGGTTAAAAATGAGACCATTTACTGTGGGCTCTAATCAGTAATATTGGATGTTCTTATTCAAAAATGTAAATTTGGATATAGACACATATCCAAGAATAATTATAGATATAAAAATTAAAGCAGAGGCGGCACATCTAAAGGCCAAGGAATGGCAGATATTGCCAACAGCCCAGAGGCAGCTATGAGAGGCATCATGGGCTAGATGGTTACCCACAGGCCTCAGAAAGACCCAACCCTGCTGCGTTTTGATCTTGGAGTCGTAGCTTTCAGAGCTACGAGAAAATGAACCTCTGCTCTTTAAGACACCCAGCTTGAGGTACTTTAAGATAGGCCTAGAAAAGCATCGCCAAAATCAAAGAGGCAAAATAAAGTGAAGGAAAATGGCGGTGTGTGGCAGAGATGTAGTGGTAATTTAAAAGATAGTTTCTTTTACGTTTGCTTTTATGTGCCAGCTTGACTGGGCCATCAGGTGCCCAGGAATTGGGCTAAACATCATTGGTGGTGGTAAGGGAGGGAATGTTTCTGAAAGACATTAAGGTTTTAATTAGCAGACTGAATAAAACACTGTCCTCCCCAGTGTGAGCTTCAATGCCCCCCAACCCCGTGTGAGTGGCCCCTATCCAATCAGGCTGAAGAGAAACAGATGAATATCAGAGAACTCAGCCTAGTTACCCAATGGTCTCCATGCTGGGACATCTGGCTGTTGTTCTTTTATTATTATTATTGTATTTACTCAATGATATTACTTACAAATTAATGTGTTTATCATATTGCAATATTCCTATAGATGCCTGTACTATACTTTGATCTACACCTCCACTACCATTTCTTTTTATAAAAATTTTTATTTATTCTTTTATCATGCAATACATCCCAACCACACACAACCTCTCCTTCCTCTACTCCTCCCACTTTACCTGTTCCATCCCCCTCTCCCCAGATCCACTGCTCCTCCATTCCCCTTCAGAAAAACAAACAAACAAACAAAAAAAAAACAAAAAAAAGCTTCCCAAGAGTATCAAACACAGTATAAAAAGATGTAAGACTAAGCACAAACCCTCATATCAATGCTGCATAACACAGTCCAGTAGGAGAAAAGGGGTCCCAAGAACAGGCAAATGAGTCAGAGACATCTCCTCTTCCACAAACATCCCAAGCTGAACAACCTAGGACTTAGTATAGACTTAGTGCAGGCTCTGTGATTGCTGCTTCAGTCTTTGTAAGCCCTATGAGCCTTGCTTAGTTGATTATGTAAACCTTGTTCTCCTGGTGGCCTCTACTGGACAGGCTCCTACAATCTTTCCTCACCCTTCTCCGAGGGGTTCCCCAAACTCTGCCTAATGTTCTGCTTTAGGTCTCTGCATCTGCTTCAATCACCTCCTACATTTCTTATCCTACCATTGTTTCTCCTTCCCTTTTCTCTTACAGTCCATCTTTGATATTTAGCTCATTTTATTTTATTTTATTTTATTTTTTTTCACATATGAGAGAAAACATTTTATAGTTATCTTTCTGGGTCTGGCTAACTTTGTTCAAAATGTACTATTCATTATTTTCAATTTAAGTTTATTTTTTTATAATTTGTTAAGTTGACATCCTGATTGTAACCCCCTCCTTTTTCTCCTTCTGGTCCCACCCACCCTCCATCTTACTCCCTATCCACTCTTTTCTAGTCCTCAGAAAGGGGGAGCCTACCTCCTCTACCATCTAACCCTAGCCTATCAAGTCTCATCTTCTTCCTCTGTGACCTGGGAAGGCCACCCCTCCAGGGGAACACGATCAAAAAGCAGCAGGCATCAGAGTCCATGTCAGCAGCAGCCCCTGCTCCCCTTAGCAGGGCACCCACATGAGCTGCGTATGGGTTATATCTGAGGAGGGGGTCTAGGTCATCTCCATGCATGGTCCTTGGTTGGTGCATCAGTCTCTGTAGGCCCCTTGAGCCCAGATTTGTTGGCTTTGTTGATCTCCTTGTGAAGTTCCTATCCCCTCTAAGTCTTTCTATCCCTTCATTCTTCCACAGGACTCCCAGTGCTCTCCCCAAAGTTTAGTTGTGAGTCTCAGCATCTGCTTTGATCCCCTGCTGGGTAGAGTCTTTCAGAGGACATCTACAGTAGGCTCCTGTCCTCCCTCTCTTCAAATGCTTCTGATATCTATTCTATTTGCCCTTCTTAATGAAAATTAAGCATCCAACCTAGGGTTCTTCTTGTTACTTAGCTTCTTTAGGTCTGTGATTGTAGTATGGTTATTCTATATTATTTGACTAATACCCACTTATAAGTGAGTACATACCATGCGTGTCTTTCTACCTCACCCAGGATGATCTTTTCTAGTTCTATCTAAGAGCTTGCTGCACAAGAGGAAGGAGGATTTGAATCCTCCTTTGCTTGCAAATTTTATGATTTCCTTGATTTTAATAACAAGTAATAGTCCATTGTGTAAATACGCCACAATTTCTATAGCCATTCTTCAGTTGAGGAACATCTAGATTGTATCCAGATTGTGGTTATTATGAATAAAGATGCTACAAACATACCTCATGAAACTGGGTGTCTGGCTTTCCTGGGTCTCTGGCTTGCCAATATAAATTTTTTAGTGTTGTCAGCATTTGTCATTCTATAAGCCAATAGTATGTCATCCCATATTACACTGATTCTGTTTCTGTGGAGAATTCTGATTAGTATATCATCTATGCAGTTTCATGAAACTGAAAAGCTTCTGTAAAGCAAAGGACACTGTCAACAGAACAAAATGACAGCCTACAGACTGGGAAAAGATCTTCACCAACCCTGTATCTGACAGGTGGCTAATGTCCAAAATAATAAAGAACTCAAGAAACTAAACACCAAGAAATCAAATAATCCAGTTTTAAAAAAAATGGGATACAGGATGATCTTTTCCAGATCCCACCATTTACCTGCAAATTTCATTATTTCCTTGTTTTTTTTATTGCTGAGTAATATTCCATTGTGTAGATGTACCACAATTTCAATATCCATTCCTCAACTGAGGAGCCATCTGGGCTGTTTCCAGCTCCTGGCTATTACAAATAAAGCTGCTACTTAAGTGAGCTATCCCAAAAGCAGAAAGACACACAGGGTATATACTCACTCATATAGACATTTAATATAGGATAAACCTACTGAAATCTGTACACCTAAAGAAACTAATCAAGAGGGAGGACTCTTGCTAAATAGCTGAATCCCTATCCAGAAAGGCAAAGAGGATGGACATCAGAAGAAGGAGAAAAGAGGGAACAAGTTAGGA